TCTAAGCTTCTCAAAGAAGCTAAGTGAAAGGGGCAAAGGAGATGCACGCATGCATAGCATAAGGTATGCTAAATTAAACATGTCCTAATACTAACCATCAAAGCAGGTAAGTAAAAGGGAGAAAGAAGTGGGGATTGGAAGACATGCACACACGCACCCACACTTATTACAAATTCGCCCTCGCTCGGAGGGACCAAAAGAATAATACAATTAATTAACTACGAGCTAACTAATTATTACAGTCCGTTAACTAGTTAAGCAAATTAACTAATCTAGGAAAACAGTAAACAGCCTTGGGAAGAGGGCCCCATGCAATGTATGCGCGGTTCCGCTCGGAAAGTCACAGCCATGCACAAGTTGCCTCCACTTTGACTGTTATCCTCCTCTGAAGACTGCATAAGTCCCAGGGTTGCTTCTCTAAATGCTTCGGAACATCACCGGCTAAGGGGATTTACCACCGGCCATGGAGAATGACCACCGGCCTCTGATTGAGATATCGGCCACGGATGGATGGCCGGTCGGCACTGCATATGGCCGGTCGGCCAAATCTTCCTGCAGAATCTGGTTTGACGGCAGCAGAGGACAAAACATGGCATGGCAATGCATTTCAAGCAAATGTATGCACCAACACATCCCTTATCATGTTTAAGACTGCAAAGGGACATGGTCCTTGGTTCTCGGACCACCAATCGTGCATTTCAATGCGTGATGGCCCAAGCGACCAAGTTGTGCATTTTCATTTCAAATGTCATGCAATCCAACTAAACACATAAAGCACAACCTCTATCATACTCAATTCAAGAGGCAAGGCATGCATGCAAAATACTATGCAACCTAGGCATGGAAGCTAAGTATGCAACATGAACATGTGAATATGTATAGCATGCAACAATCATGCAAAATGGAGCAAGGATGTGACAATATGCAAAACAAGCATGCAACATCATGCAAAGATGGACTTAAACTAATATAGGTAGCTCTCAAGCATGCCAAAATCAGTGGCCAAAATGATGTAACAAGGGCATGAAAACTCACACACAAGCATGCATGCACAAAGGCCTAAACATGGAGCGTAAGCTATCAACTCTCCAAAGCATGAAAAGGGATGGAAAATGCAAGTATGAAAGCATGGAACATGGACTGAAATATGGTCTCCAATGATGCCAAATCATGAGAACAAGCCAAGTAAAGCATGCTAGTAACACACACATCCAAGGCTAACAAGCTAGAGTGCAAAGAGGCTATACAAAGCATGGCAAGCATGACCAAAACGACACCAAACAGAACCTAAACATGTTAAAACATGACTAAAAAACTTTACAAAGCTAAGCCAAAATATGCAAGCATGGTGGTCCAAATGCAAGATGCCTTTCTAGGCAAAATAAAGGAATGCAAGGCAAGTGTAAGGTGCATGCAAGGGACCATTAAACCAAGCAAAAAAAGTAACATGGTATGTCAAATAAGCCCCAAAAACCCATGGAAACAAGGTCCACACATGCTAGAATGGGGTGTTCCTTTGAAAGGCCAACAAGAGGGTTACTCTACACATGCAATAAGGACATTCAACAAGACCAAACCAACTCTAGAGAAATGGCTTATGGGGGTCCTAAAACCCACTGAAAAATGCTTGAAACAAGGCTTGGAAGCATGCAAATAGGAGCCCCTTTGGAAGGCCAAAAAGGGCAACAAACAAGGCAACAAGGGAGAGGGTCACCCCTCTCCTTCTTAAGACCTTAAACCACCATCCTCACCACTGAAATCCCTGAAGATTTCAGTGGTGAGGAGGTCACAACAAGGTGGTCCCGAAGCTCACCAAAAATAGCACAAAATGGGGCCAAACAAGGCCTAAGAGGGGGTAAACGACCCCAAACACAAAAGTGACCTAATGAAGTATCTTAAACACAAAAAAAAAGAACTTTTTTATGTTATACACAAAGCCCAAATCCGCAAGTAAGATAGGCTAAAAGGGTGTGCAAAAACGGGGAATAAAGAGAGAAAAGGGGTTACCTTTGAAGACCAGCAAGAACCAGCAGCCTTTAGACCCAAAAATGCAACCCTCAACCTCTAAAAACAAGCTCCAAGAACCTCCAAGTGATGATGGAAGTGTGTGGCTATGAAGTGGTGTGCAATAGGCCAAGAACAAGACCTTTTTGGACCCTCTAACCCACGCAAATGTAGAGAGAGAGGGAGATATAGAGAGGGAGTGATATATATATCATATATATCTGATTTTTCTAACCCTCTAAAGGGGAGGAGAGACCCTCTTTTTATAGAGAAACCAAGGGGGTAAAGCTTCTCTTGGAAGCTTTGAGCAAAAAGGCCAAGCTTCTCTTAGAAGCTTGAATCAAAAGGGCCAAGCTTCTTGGAGAAGCTAGGCAAAGGGGTCAAGAGGTTCAAGCTTCTTCAAGAAGCTAAAAAAAAGGTGAAGCCTCTTGGAGAAGCTAAAAAGGGTGAAGCTTCTTGGAGAAGCTAAAAAGGTTCAAAAGGTTCAAGCTTCTTGGAGAAGCTAAAAAAATGTCAAGCTTCTTGGAGAAGCTAAAAAATGGTCAAGCTTCTTAGAGAAGCTAAAAAGGGTCAAAAGGTTCAAGCTTCTTGGAGAAGCTAAAAAAAAGATCAAGCTTCTTGGAGAAGCTAAAAAAAGGGCAAGCTTCTTAGAGAAGCTAAAAAGGGTCAAGCTTCTTGGAGAAGCTAAAAAAAAGGTCAAGCTTCTTAGAGAAGCTAAAAAGGTTCAAGCTTCCTTAAGAAGCTAAAAAAGGTTCAAAAGGGTCAAGCTCCCTCAAGAAAAGGTCTCGGCCAGGAAAAGTGGCCGATTGATAAAAAACAGTGGCCGGCCGACCAAACACAATGTCGACCGACCATCAATAGTGCCGACCGGCCATCACCAATGGCCGGTGGCAAGGAAACAAGGCCGGTGGCCTCAAGCCATGGCCGGTGAGGTGTGGGGATGGCCTACAAGCTACTTCCCACCTTCAGAAGCAAAACAACAAGTGTTTGGCGCAAAACCAGACGCAAAACAGTCGAGTCGAGAGATCCTGAGGCAGGGTGCGTAGCCGAGACCTCCGGGAACTCAAGACGAACACGAAAAAGGATGATTATCGAGTGTTCAAACGATGACGTTCAAATCTTGAGGACGGTCAAAAATGGTGTGTCTACACAATGCCAGCTTAACTGCCTCAAATCATCTAAACATAAGAACTAACATGCTTCCTAAGAGATCATTCATAATGAACTCCTGATTTCACTTGGAAGCCATAAGACAAACAATAAAATTTCCCCTAAATTGTCAACCCCTATAAAATTCAACTAATACTGAATGGAAATGAGTCATCAAATATATCCACAACATCAACATACCAACACAATTTAAAAAATATAAGGCAAAGAACAAAAGAACTGTTCATAGGACACATAAAAAAGCAAAGTGAAGCCTCTTCACTAGAAAATAACCATGCCTGAACACCTCAGAAATTGAATTGCGCTCACATGCATTTGAACAATAATTTCAACTCCTCCAGACAAGAAAGAGGGTTCCTTTAACTATATGTTGAAGATTGCAAAAAAAATAAATAAATAAAAAAACTATATACCCACAAAACAGAACCAACAAAGGATGACCTAGGTAACAATTTAACCACACAAACTAAAAGTGAGGCATTGAATTCACCTCAAATCCAAGAGAACATCTGATGAGCCTCTGAACATATTCAATTACATCTTTCCTCTTCTCACCTTACAGTCAGTCCAATAACCCTCATAGTGTAATAAGCCATTCAATTCAAGTGCACAAAAGAGCTGACCTTTGGGTCCTTCCAAATAGCAATAATTCAAATTCTAAGAAAAAAATATAAACATAGCAGAAGATGAGACAAATTAAGATATAAAAAAAAAGTTGACCCGTCCAATTAAATTTGATCATGTGGTAGCTACCATAGAAGAATCTAAAGCTTTATGAACCCTTAGTTTACATGAACTAATATTCTTCTTTCAACTTCATCAAATTTTTTGAAGTGTTGTGTTAATTTACAGTTCACTTTTTTCTTAGATATATATTCCAACCAAACCGCTAATAGTTATGGAGACTATATATGCTATGCTGTGATACTTGCTTATAAAATTTGAACAGAAATATGCACAAAATAGGGCAGAAAGAATGGAGCTCTTAAAATAACCTCATTGTGCCAACACTTTTTTTTTTGGCAGTCAGGCATTTTTTCAAACACTTAAGAGGACCCTTAATATCAGATAACATATTTACAGACTATCATTTATATGTACACATATTAACATAGCTATTTGGTATATATAGATGAGAAAATCAATATATAGGAGAGGGATCTGACAGACCTGATATCATTGGGCGGTGGTGATCCCAAATTATAAAAATTTCTATGTAGTGTTTCTTTCTTCTCTCTCTTTCTCAAGTGTCCCTCTGGAGCTCTTTGTCGTCGATGAAGCCACTCCCGTTCTGATTGCTACCTGGAAGCACGTCACCAACGCTTGATCCATCCTGCTGGGAAGGACGATGGCAACAGAGATGCGATGCGGCTTCTGTAAGCCTACGCCTGCAGTAGGTATCCTCCTTTGGAGCGGCAGCAAAGTTGGTGTTGTTTAGCTTGATTGATTTTTGTCGTTGTTTATTTTCGTATTTTTCATTTCCTGAATGTTTTTAAATTTTGGTCATTGATTATCGGCTGTGTTTTTATTTGTGGTACGTTTTTTTTTCATTATTTACTTGTTTCTGTGTTGTCTATTGTGATTTGGTGTGTAGTTTTTGTTTGTTCTTGGTTGTGTTCTGAGTTGTTAGTTGGGATTGTGTTTTTGGTTTTTGCTATGTGGATCATTTTCATTTTTTGATTTTCTTTTTAGTGTTTTGAATATAATCTGCTGTGGATTTTTTTGTTGTGAGTTGGTTACGTGTTTTGTATTGCTATAATTTGTATATTGTATAGTTTCTTGATTTTTGTATAGTTTTATATCAGCTTCTTCTGTTTATCTAGTCTTTGATATTGTATGTGAATTGATTTGGCTGGTTCTCTACATGTTTTATCTGTCTTGTGGTATTTAGTGTTTTGTAATCTGCTTTTCCATGTCCTTAAGCACATCATTCAGAGAATGGTTGGTTCTGTTATATTGCTTACGCTGAGTTTAGTATTCCTTTGACCTAAGCAAGTGTTGTGATACCTGGAAGTGGAGTAACGGCATAGGTTTGTACTTGAAGGCAGAGATTCAAACGATGAGAGGGTTGGGAGTTTCGACGAAGGAGTGGCGGCTGGCGATGGGATTTAGGTTTTGATCTACCTCATGATCTGGATCTCAAGCGAAAGAGGGAAGAGGAAGAGAGAGAGAGAGAGAGAGAGAGAGAGAGAGGAGAGGGACTAGGGCTGGGCATGGGCTAGGCGAATGAATTTACGAATTTAAAGTTTTGGGATAGTTTGAAAAAATATATATTGATCACACTAATTTAGAAGTTGTGATTAAAAAAATTATATAGAACCACACTTTTTTAAAGTACAAAAAAATTACAAAATTTAGAAATATTAGAAAGTATAAATTTAAAAATAAGTCTTATAAATCAGATTTATTTACTCATAAGTCATGAGTGAATTTTTTTTGCACACTTAGCCCTCGTTTTGATAAAGAATTTTTTTTAAAACTTTTTAAATATATGTTTTGTGTCTGTAAAATGATTATTTCATTAGTACTGGTAATAATATTGAAAAATTTATTAAATGATAAATAATTAGGATATTTTCTCTTTTGTTTGTGAATTTTGATTTATTCTTAATTTATTAGTGTTATTGAAATATGATGATGTAAAAAGTATAAATAGTTTAATTGTACTTTTTTTTAAAAATAATAAATTTGTTATTAAAAATTAAATTCATCAAACTGACCTGTAATATGCCTTTAAATTTTTGCAATGTAAAACCATCGACAAACAGACAATAACAAGTTGTCATTTTAGCATACCTTTCGCGTGAGGGCCCAATTATTAAAAGATGTGTTCAACCCATCAAATGAAAGCCGACTACTTCTTCCATCTCAAAATAATAGTCTATTTTCAGAATTAATTCTTTATAATACAATTATTACATTTTAAAATATTAATTTTCAAAATTACCTTTTGATAGTATATTTTTTAAAAAATATCAATTGTCATAATTGTACTTTTTGTATTATTAATGGATTTAAAAAAAGGACAAAATACGAAATTTATATTATTTTAATAATTAATTTTAAAAAAAATTAATATTTTGAGATAATAAAAAATAAATAAGATATTAATAGTTTTTGTCGCCGAAACTTAACATTTGGCGACCAAAATTTTGGTCGGCAAAGATTAAAAATTAAATTTTTTATTTTCATTCAGCTACCAAACAATTTAGTAGCCAAAAGTAGGTCTACAGCGACTAAAAGAATTTTGTCGCCGAAACTTAACATTTTGCGACCAAAATTTTGGTCGGCAAAGATTAAAAATTAATTTTTTATTTTCATTTGGCTACCAAACAATTTAGTAGCCAAAAGTAGGTCTACAACGACTAAAAGGAATTTTGTCGCCGAAACTTAACATTTGGCGACCAATATTTTGGTCGGCAAAGATTAAAAATTAAATTTTTTATTTTCATTTGGCTACCAAACAATTTAGTAGCTAAAAGTACCTCTACAGCTACTAAATTTTCTTTTAATCGCCAATTGTGATATGTTTAGCTACTAAAAATTTTTTTCGTCGCCAAATGTAATATTTTAGCTACTAAATTTTTTTTAGTCGCCAATAATCAACATTCCCCTACTAAAAAAAAATTAGTAGCTAAAAAGTTGACTTTTGCTGACTAATATTATTTTTGGTAGCCAATTCCGTGACTTTTGGCGACTAAATTGTTTTTGGTAGCCAAAAATGGTCGACAAAAATGTATTTTCTTGTAGTGTGCTATTCATGCCCATTGCTCCCTCCACCGCCTTCCATCCAAGGCTTCTCCGATTGTCCATTCGCTCATCAACTCACTTTTACTTGGGGTTTCGACTCAAATTATTCTATTAGTTATTTCTCTCTATATAAATCCACCGTGTTGAATTTATGTTAGAAATAGGTTTTGAAAGTTTTGGAAAAATAGAATTTTTCTCAAATTTTGGTCTAATTTTTAAGTGGGACCCATGCGTCAAAATTGGCAGGTCTAAGTGGTAACGCGTTCTATGTCGCGTAGTGATTCACGTGGTATATTTGGTTACTCACAACCATTATCGGGTGAATGGGAAATTGAAGCCAAAAAGAACTCCATGGAAATGGTGTTTTTGTTGAAATTTCTTAAAGGTTTGGTTTAAGCTTGTCCCACATTGATTTGGTGGGCAAACTTTGAGTGGGTTTATGAGACTTGAGTTGGAACTTGGGGTAGGTCCCAAGGGGCACCCAAGTTTTGTAGAAGAGGAAGTTATGTAAAGTGGGTGAGACCCATTGGATCCAAAATAAACATGCGTGCGCCGCCGTCGGGTGACCTAGGCACGGGTGCGTGGTGTAAGGTTGGTTCAAAAACATTTGAATTTATTTTATGTATTTAGAAATAAAATCTAATCTGTCTGTTTTTTGTTTCAAATTCTGGTTGGAAATAAAATTCAAATTTTGGTTTGCACCTCTTCTGAAATTCTGTAAGTTTCGCATCTGTCCAAACAAATCCGAATCTGTTTAAATTCGAACCTAAAACAGGTTTTTAACTGTACAGATTTGTATAGTTTAATTTACAGATTTGAAGAGGTACTGTACCTGTTTAATTCAAACCAAACAACCACTAATTTTCTATATAAAGGCAGTCCCTCATTTGATTTTAATGCATAATTTTCGTCTCTAATTTTGTCAATACTCTCTGCATTTTCCTGTATACAATTTTCTATGAGAAAGATTGTGCAACTATTGTTTGTTGTTGATCATTTTATCCTAGGAGATAGACGTCCACAATCTGAAAGCACTGTGAGAGAATGAATCTGTCTTAAGGACACAGTGTTAAACACTGGACTTGATCAAAAATTTGTTCGACAAATAAATAAGGTAAGTATTTAATTTACTTTCAATTTATTTATTTATATCAGATTTTAATTTTGTTTTGTAACAAAATAAAAATCAATTTTATTTTATTTTTATTTTACTGATTTGATTTTTGTAATCAAACAATTTTCTCTCCTTTCTTATTTCTTCTGTTTATTGTTAAGTACACAAATATTATTATTCATAATACGGCGAAGATTGTCCAACAATTTAAAATTTGATGGTTGGCGTTCCAAGTTTGAAATCTCCAATTTGAGTAGTTGGAGGAGTTGTGGCAAGTACAAGAATGTGATGTATAAGCAGTTGGTGGAATTGGCTAAGAGAGAAATGGTGGTGAGGGTAGACGAACATCAGCAGCAGCGACCTGGGACACCCAATCAATGTGCTGGTCAGAAGTAGGGAAATCTGGAGGAGGGTGTTAAATTTAAATTTCATAATGGGGAGGATGATGAGGAATTCTTGCATCACCGTATAGTGTTTACCTCTATGCTTATGTTGCCAACAACTACTGTAGTAGATCCACGAGAGAATGCTTGCAATGCGTAATTAACAAGATGTGGAATTGTAACCTCCCATATCAGGCCTCCAGGTTTGACCTAAATTTTATTTTTATTTATTTTAATTTCATATATATTGCTTTTTTTTATTGCATGTTCCTTGTTTTAGAATGGCTTATATATATATATATAATCTAATTCGTGTACTTATTCTGTTCATTAAATTTCAAGAATTTTAATAAGGAGACAATGAATTGTGTTAGCACTTGGCTTCTTCAATGGCATATAAGTATATACTGTGCCACAACCAACTATCTAACTGAATCAAAGTTCAAGCGCATGGGCTGGAGTAAGGCCCTAATTAGCTACTTATATTGGTGTGATGCTTTGGTGGTGGTTTTTACCTTCAAGAAGGACATTCTTCACTTATTTATCAAAAAGAAAAAAGAAAAAGGACATTCTTCAATTATTTATGGTTTAAATTTACTTCCTAACAGTCTAGATGAATGTTTGTTTTGTTGTTAATACGTTCGTTGGTTTTTTAGAGTGGAATGGAGAGAAAAAATTCATTTAGACGACCCTACTTAATTGGGATACAGAATTTGTTGACGTAGTCCTCCTCTTTGTGCCGTATTAGTTTTTGTTTGTTTCTCTTTTATCTTTTCGTTCAGACACACATTCTAAACTTGCTGGAGCCTTTCTTGTAATCATTTGGTTATCTCTTC